ATTTAAATTAACCCTTTTAAATATATTTTTTTATTCTTGCTCATTAAAGATTCTTCTGTGCTTCTCACCTGTTGGTAATGCATTGCGTGTCAGGGCTAGACGCTTCCCTGCATTGGTCAACTGCACAAGTATAGATTGGTATCACGAGTGGCCTATGGATGCTCTCATTTCTGTATCGGAGCATTTTCTTGAAGACTGTCCTGGCATAACGGTACCAGCATATGTCAATATTGTTAACTAATTAACTTTATATTTAGGGATAAAAGAAGATTTTTAAGAGATATTTTGATTTAAAGTTTATAAGGCAATGATTCGAAGCTCGACCCCACCGAACAAAGACAGCAGATTTCTCTTGATCAGCTGTCGGATGTCTAAGAAGCGTTTTCTTTCGATTCCAGTTAAATGTGCTAAGAATTTGTGTCATATGACGGATATCATTAGAGTAAAGTATAATTCTTGCACTTATTTTAAGTTAAATTAATACAAAAACTCACCGTTTTATCCATGCATCCTAAATATATATATATATACATCCATTTATTGCAAAGAGCAACGATTACTGATAAGATTGCATTTGTATCCTATGTTGCCAGGGGCAGGAATATTTGAGACTCACTCCAAAATATAATAAGGACCCGATTTTTCCAACTTAGTATACATATTGAAAATTCCGTCTCATCTGGTTTGAAATGCACTCCCTTTATCGCACTGAGCAGAATTTGAACTTAATATATGTGAATGCAAAAGCTAAAAGCTACCTTCACGAGAATGCTGCTCCAAATCTAGCATTGTTAATAATCGGCAGAGTAATGAGGTTTGGTTTTTTGTAATTTTGGTCGTTTAACATGGTTCTGAAAGCTTGATAAATATCTTATCGAGCACCAATGTATGCTTTTAATTTTCGAATTAATGAAGACCTTCTGACTGCCTCGTTGAATTCATTATAAATGAATTTCTTAATGAGAGATAGTATTATCGGTCAAAAATCAGTCAATTTAATCGAATTTACATCTGATCGCTACTATTTGGAATATATGCTCGCTGCCAGAATACGCCATTTTTTCATGTTTTTATATAATCGGAGAGTGCTTCTGCTCAAAATAATTTAATTTTTCATAACTTTACATAAAGTGTCCCAATCAAATTCGCATTTGATTAAACTTTGCAAATAAACGCTATTGGAGCCGACTGAAGAAACTGTCAGTGGCAAATTAATACCTATTGTATCACGTGGCTTTAAGAGATCAAAATAACATCTAATTAAATTTCCCAAATTTGGAAACTATTCCAAGTTGTAACCATTTTTGAAATTGTATAATTAAATATATTCATTTTTCATCTTAGGACTATATTCATCCGAAACCCAAAAAAACATTTTAAGAATTTTTTCTTCCAAATTCTTTTTTTCTCTCATTTTAGCCAGAATTGCTTGGATCTCTAAGCCGTTATATGGCTTTTACTCATTGCACTGTAAATGAGTTAAGCCACCTCTACTTCCAGCGAGAACGGCGTCATAACTACACTACTCCAAAATCTTTTCTGGAACAAATTAGCCTCTACAATCGACTAATGGAAGAAAGATTCCATGAGCTGGGTGCCAAAAGTGACAGGCTCGTAAATGGTCTTGAGAAGCTAAAGAATGCCTCCGAGCAAACCAGTGAACTGAAAATTCAGCTAGCTGAGCAAGAAATCGTTTTAAATGAGAAAACAGAAAATGCTAACAAATTAATTGCCGTAGTTGGACAGGAGACTGAGAAAGTAAGCGCTGAAAAGGAGATTGTTGCAATGGAAGAGGCTAAAGTTGCTGTAATCAAGGAGGGAGTTATGCTGAAGCAGAAGGAATGTGAGGCAGACCTACGCAAAGCCGAACCAGCTCTATTGGCTGCTATGGAGGCTTTGAACACTTTAAACAAAAACAACCTTTCCGAGCTCAAAGCACTTACCACTCCACCTCCTGATGTGGTGATGGTACTTGCTACAGTTATGGTATTGTTTTCAATGGACGGGAAGTTGCCTAAAGATCGTAGTTGGCGAGCAGCGAAGGCAGGACCAATGGCAAAGGTAGATCAGTTTCTATCAAATCTGATTAATTATGAGAAAGAGATTATACACCCAAACAGCAAGCAAACCGCTTTGGAATATGTGAAGCATCCAAATTTTGATCCAGAAATCATTCGCACCAAGTCCTCGGCCGCTGCAGGCTTGTGCTCTTGGGTAATAAATATTTTGAGGTTTCACGATGTCTATTGTGATGTAAAACCTAAGAGGGATGCACTAGATGCCGCCAATGAGGAGCTCAGGCAGGCTACTGAAAAATTGGAAACACTACAAAAGAAGATTTCTGTTCTAGAGGCATCACTTTCTGAATTAACGGACAATTTTAAAGCAGCAACAGAGGCAAAATTAAAATGTCAAAAAGAGGCCGATTTCACCGCTAAGACTTTGGACCTGGCTAATCGTCTTGTCAGTGGCTTTGCCTCTGAGAATGTAAGATGGGGAAGCCAAGTTGAAGAGCTCAAAAGTCTTGGAGATACTGTTTCAGGAGACGTTTTAATTGCAACTTCCTTTATCTCATATTTTGGATACTTGAGCAAACATTTTCGCACTGAGCTTATAGACAATCGACTGTGGCCATTCCTTATGGAGCTGAAGCCCCCGATTCCTGTTCGAGAAAGGCTTGACCCTTTGCAAATGTTAATTGATGATGCAACCGTGGCGGCGTGGAATAACGAAAATCTACCTGAAGATAGAATGTCCATTGAAAATGCCACAATACTTACATTTTGTCAAAGATGGCCTTTGGCTGTTGACCCACAGCTACAGGCTGTAAGATGGATAAAGTCGAAATTTGGTGCCGAACTGGTGGTAACAAGGTTGGGCAAAAAGGGCTATTTGGAGGACATTGAGAAGGCGCTCATATCGGGTAGCACTGTATTGATAGAAAACATTGGAGAGGATATGGACCCCATTCTAGACCCGATCATTGGCCGCCAGACAATTAAAAAAGGCAAAGAAATCAGACTTGGGGACAAAGAAATACCATTTAATGCTAATTTTCGCCTTCTCCTACACACCAAGCTCGCAAATCCTCATTATAAGCCGGAATTGCAAGCCCAGACTACACTAATCAACTTCACTGTAACCAGAGAAGGCCTAGAGGACCAGTTGCTAGCTGTTGTCGTAAGCAAAGAACGACCTGACCTAGAAAAGTTAAAATCAGACCTGACAAAGCAACAAAATGAATTCAAAATCACATTGAAGAGTCTGGAAGATGCCCTGCTAGCCAAACTATCGGCATCTGATGGTAACTTCCTTGGGGACCATTCGCTGGTAGAAAACTTGGAAACTAATAAGAAGATGGCTAAAGATATTGAAGAGAAGGTGACACAAGCAAAGATTACGGAAAAGGAGATCAACTTTGCTCGAGAGACATATCGTGTGGTAGCAGGACGCGCCGCATTGAGTTACTTTATCATGAATGACCTCTGTCTTATTAATCCAATGTATCAATTTTCGCTGAAAGCCTTCTCCACCGTGTTTGAGTGGGCCATCGACACCACATTTGAAATGGAAAATGAAAAAGATCGACTGATCGCACTTTTGGATACAGTTACCTTTTCCATCTTCAACTATACTATACGTGGATTATTTGAAAAGGACAAACTCATATTTACAGTACTTATGATACTACAGATCCAGCTGATGAACAAAGAAATTCCTTCCAATCTAATGGACTTTCTACTTCGCTATCCAGCAGTAGTAGATGTTAAGTCGCCTGTTGATTTCTTGAGCGATTTAAGTTGGGGTGGAGTACAGACATTAGTAAAAATGAGTAATTTCCGTGACTTGGATAAGGATATTGTCAGCTCGGCAAAGCGATGGAAGGCGTTTCTGGAATTAGAAGCTCCAGAGAAGGAGAAATTTCCCCAAGAATGGAAGAACAAGTCACCGATGGAAAAATTATGCATGATGAGGTCGTTGAAGCCAGATCGGATGACTTACTCTCTTCGCTTTTATATTGCGACAACCTTCAGTTCAAAATACGTTGAAGGACGCCAGATTGAGTTTTCAAAGTCTTATCGTGAATCCAGTCCGAATGTGCCTATCTTCTTCATTCTATCTCCCGGTGTAGATCCATTGGCGGATGTTGAACAGTTGGGCGAAAAGCTAGGATTCAGCTTTGATAAAGGAAATTTCCACAACATCTCCCTAGGACAAGGTCAAGAAATTGTTGCCGAACTTACCCTAGAACGAGCAGCAAAAGAGGGACATTGGGTGGTCTTGCAAAATGTCCACTTGGTGGCACGGTGGCTGCCAACACTCGAGAAAAGACTGGAACAGTATGCGGAAGCTGCACATACTAGCTATCGCGTATTTGTTAGTGCGGAACCTGCCCCTTCTGCAGAATATCATATCATTCCACAAGGCATCTTAGAAAATGCCATCAAGATTACAAACGAACCGCCAACCGGAATGCAAGCCAATATTCACAAAGCTCTCGACAACTTTAGTCAGGTAACTTTGACACTTATTTCCTGAATTCCTGAACTGTAAAAGTATGAAAAAGATGTACTTCCCTTGAGACGCATAAGTTGACTAAAAATAGGATAATTCAATTTTTCTACTTATAAGAGAAGGCCAACTGGAATGATCACAGTTTTGATTAAAGCTTTTTTGAGAGTACTTAAACATAATAAGTATAAATAAAACGACAACTCAAAATATTAGTTGAGATTGCATTCTCAACTAAGTTTATTAACCAACTAAATGCTTAATTAAGCTGATTTATTTAAAGAAGAACTTACTTTTGAAGTATCGGAACAGTTTTTTATCAAACTTCGTATATAATGTGTCTAAAACTGCACATGTATTTGGGCTTTACGATCATCAAATTTCACCACGATAAATGAACATATGAAAATAAGCTAATTACTATTTAATCTTATATTATCTGAATATATCTCTCCCAATTAAATTTCGCCTCCTATGTCTAAAAATCTCTAGGTTTCTCAATCTGGCCTTACATTATTTTGTATATCATCAAGTAATAATATACCCACTATTTCCCGAAAATGGCCTTACAACTAAAACGTGTGCTATCCCTTGTTCAATGTCTGGATATATTTCAGAGATAAT